TTTGGATGTTGCAATGGCAGTGGTGGGCCAGAACACAGTACCTCCACGAGGGACTGTGGCCATAAGAAATCATACATGAAAACACTGGAAATCACACACACACACACACACAGACACACACACAAAACGACAAAAGTGATTATAAGGGCAATCCTAGCACAACGGATCGCCAATTATAAGGGCTATCCTAGCGGAGCGGATCGCCAATATTTAGAAGTACGATATTTTACCCTTGGATACATGAATATACTTGAACAACAGTAATGATACTTCTAGGTAGTCACTTATTTTGACTAAAACTAATTTGCGTATCACCTATGCAATAATGTTTTTCATGGTCAATATGCAAATGAACATGGTATTGGCGATCCGCTCCACTAGGATTGCCCTTAAAATCACTTTTGTGTGTCTGTGTGATTTCCAATGTGTTCACGTATTAATTCTTCTGTGATTTGTTTGGCTTGGCCGATTTCGCTCAAACTTAGCAGGTAGGTTACACCTTCACCCTGGTTACTAGGAACATAGCAACAGCAGAAAAAAACCCTGTTTTGAATAGCTTCGCGCTAAATGTATCTCCTCCTACAAATTTAGGATACAACACATCTGACATAGCTTATTCTACTCAACTTGAGTGTGGGCACAAAGTTACTATTTGCATTTTTGATGCCTTTTTTCATTAATGAGAAATTTGCCCCCAAAGTTAGGATAACTGTTCACCGGGAATGGCTTTTTAACTCTTCTGTGATTTTACTGGCTGGGCCGATTTGGCTCAAACTTGGCAGGCAAGTCAAACCTTCACTCTAGTTAGGTTGTAAACATTTGAAAACAAATTCTGGCCACACTGTTTTTTGAATACTTTCGCCCAAAATGTATTACCTCCTACCAGTCTTGTAATAACAGTGTTCAAATGATCATGCCTTTTATTTTGGCTACGTTGCACACCGGTAAGAGATCACCGGCGCCGACATTGTTACACTGTATCAACTTAAGGGACGACGTCAAAAGATCGATGTCGTATAAAAAACTTATTTGCTTTAGTTTGGGGGGGGGGGGTCAGTTTCCATCCTACAAAAACGATTTTATTTTTAAATTAAGTCAAACAAATCTTGGAGTATTTGTATTTTGTTTGTTTTTCTATCCAATCATTGACGGCGGCCTATCTGCGCCCTTCACCATTCTATTCAAACGAATCACGTGGTGTGTCGTTCTCCTTCAAACCCGGGATTCAATCAATAAGAGAGTTTCAGTAAAAAAATCGCAAATCATGCAAATTCAACATTTTCAAACCAGTATACTAAAACGGAAATGCTCAGAGATGCAAAAGAAGGACATATATTACTTTTCAGTATACACATTTCTGTTGATACTATCCCTCACATATTCTACTTCCAATTATTCCTGCGTAAAATGGAAAAGCCTCTTTCTATGTTTGACATTTTGAGTAAAATCACGTGATAGGCTATTAAAATTGGCTGTTACATATACTTTCGCCGGTCTGGAAAAGTGTTTAATTAGCTCTCATTCAAGCAACAATGCAGATTTCCCAGTGGGAGTGAAACTGGTTCGACTCTGCCATTAAACAATAGGGGTGTTTTCAGCAAAAAAACGAATAACCCTAGAGTGCACAAAACACAGAGAAATTCGGAACAAATCTTGCATTAGTTACAGCAGCAGAATACCACAGAAATATCAGACGAAACATGAAAACACTATATATTGCATTTCGGCCTGAACCCTTTCTATTGTAATTCCAGGATTTCCCCATAAGTGCATGCATTTTCCCCCTTGGTATCACCCACCCCTGAAAACAAACCCTAAATATCACGCTGAAGCGTTTGGTAATAAATTTATAGCTACGATTATTTTACAAATTGCGCAATAATTTTGCTGATACGTGTGCTGAAACCTCTCACTCAAAACAATGTTATCTCATCAATAAGCTGTATACATTCCTCAATATTGATTGTTATGGGTATGACATCAAATACCGAATACAAAATTAACGCGTTTTAGGTTGAAACACCACACTTGAAGTATTTAAAATTTAAACAATTTTGAGGTAAAGTGTAAATGTGCCTTATACAGCACTTTATGGAAGATTTATGTTAGGCACTGATGGCCTTATTGGTTGTCTTATTTTGTGTTTTGGATTCGTAAATTTCCTTTTGACCATATTGGATGAAGTCCTTCTGACAATTTGTCATGTGATCTAATATTAATACTTTTGTACAACATAACGAATCCTTAACTGGTGAAATTACAAAATGAACTAAATTGAACATAACAAGCCAATATTTGTTAAGGTCATTAGGTCACTAGAACTAGTATACAGGCATATTACGGACATATAGACACATAAGAGTATATTGGAATTTGAATTAGGTAGTTAATATGCACATATGTTTAGCAAAAACTCATCAGGTATGTAAATAGTCCTAGATCATCTATGTACAAGTTTCATTGAAATCAAATTAGTGGTTCATTAGATATCAGTGAAACAGACGGATACTAGTGGTAAATGATTGAGGCAGGCTGCCATTCATCCAGTACAAACTATATTGGACTTCCATGTGCGTAGTACACAATGTGAATATATATAACATATTCAGCCGTAGATCATTAAAACAAAAGTATAAGAACACAAAACAAACGACAATTCACGAGAACAAAACAACTGACAAGTACAGTCAAATAAGTAAATGAATAGTATATCGATCCATAGTATACACAAAGTGATGTCGAGTGAGTGCACATATCTGCCCACACGTGGCACCCTCAATATATCATTCTGAGTCACAATAGAGTGTTTTTGTATTGTATCTGATGTAATCAACCAAGTTATATTGATAACATCTGTGATCATATTTGTATTGGTGTTATTGTATTTAACCACAAGCTCATTATATCTGCCAAAAAAACTTTTAAAATGTTCAAAAAGCCAATCGCTCCTACAAAACTCTTGGTTTAAAAGTTTTTAAACCACTGTTTAAAAAGTTTGCATATGTATGTCTGTTCAATCGAGCACCGCGTGACGGAATTTGAGATTATTAATTACTTTACTTGAATAATATCTCCAGATATCTCCAGTGGCACAAATTTTAATGAATCATGATACATTGCTTTTTTTAATAATATACATTTCGTATTATTTTAGAGGTGAAAACCATGCATATTACCGAATTTGTATTTATTTACTCGTAACATATTTGACTGAAAAGTCATCATTATGATGAATTATTGATAATAACTCTTAACCAGCAATTCATACATGTTTAATTAGTTCCAGGGGCAGGTCTGGAGCTCTTGATTGTTTTCCTTTTCTTTCTTTTGGTACTGGGAAAATCACTCATTATTGGAGCGCTATCAATTTAAAATAAGACTCTAAGTTCAATGATGTAATTCGAGTAACGTTATTCTCACTACAACAGAAAAGTGATTGGTTGCACTCTAGAGAATAAACTTTTGATCTAATTTTCAAAGCATGTCTACCTGTCATTGTTATAAAACATCATTTCTGTGTTTTACTATAATTTCATGTCACAATAATTGTCTTTTTTCAAGGTACTTCATATTCGATTTTGTGAATTGTCACGTGATTCCAAAATCAAGTGATTCAAAAATGACCGCCACACACATTTCTTTTTAGTTTACATGTTTAGTATAAATTAGGCGTACGGTACAAGTTCCCGTTCTAATCTAACATATCACTTTCTCTGTCATGTGACATACTTTTTGGAGAAAACGTCAGGTATTCAAAACACAGAACAAATTATTGCATGAATATGGAAATCAACATTGCACCTGTAACACAGGTGTTACGATTCTCAGTGTTCACTTCTTTCTCTTCAGTACGATTTTCTCCCAGCCAATGGTTGGGCTTTCTAAAAATACGGATATGGTAAACGCCACAGCAAAAGTCAGGACAATTCCCCCAAGTATCAAATAAACCTGCAAATGAAAATCGAAAAGTGTATATGTTTTATTTTGCCATTGATGAACGACGAAAGAAATGTCACCTCTAGGGACGAACTCAATAATAAGACTGAAGGGCAGAATGGGGTTATGATTTGAAAGTATAGCCTCAATTTCAAGGTGACAATTCTCAATATATTTACATCAATATTATGATATTTGGGCACAATAATATAATATGGGTTCATCCCCATTCATTAAATTAAGTTCAGCTCATCTGAATACGTTTTAGAAGTGTGCTATGCTAGATAAACCATTAAAATGACCAACTACTATCTAGATTATACTCACTATCAAACAGAACCCAATAAGCGAATTAAATATGTTCGCAAATACAACCTTTGTTTAAAATACAATGGTTCCCTTGGCATACTTAAAAAGAACGAATTTTCATAATTCTACTTTCTTTCACAATGTATCAGCAGGTATTCGCTGTAGCGAATTGGAATTTATATCTCAATTCAAATTATCAGTGTAAATTGACTAAATATTGCATACGTCATAGAAAATGTGTATGTATACGCCACAGAATATCAACATATACCACATGTTTACTCACCACATTGTATACGTCATAGAATAACAACCTATCACGGCTCAGGTATCCCATGACAATGACAGGAAGATGTATCATGTACGCACTGAATGTGAGTCGTGACAATGGTATCCAAATCTTCCATGACAGAATAGTGTTGACTGGACCTGGAGGATAAAATCACGTGATTATTTTAAATATTAATTGCCGGAGATGACGTAATTTACAGAAAATCCGGCTTTTACAAAATAATCAGCTGAATGTTGCAATTGTGAAAACAATAATTCCTATTGAACATATCAATGTGTTCTGTGGTTCTGAAGAAAAATTGTATAACCAATGGGATTCAACTATTTTTATGGTTCAACCTAATTTCATTTTTATTTGAACGTATCTGTAAACTCTTTAAATGTATGCAAATTAGTTTTTGTTCAGTACATGACATTTTCTTCAATATTGTTCATTACTCTTACCAATTTGTTGAATTACAATTGAATTGTTGAAAACGAGTGAGAACAGAGAGAACGTCACTGATAATAGTTACCAAAACAGTAAATAAAATTGAACACTAAGTACTTTGCTGCGCATAACGTTTATGGAGAAAATGTCTACATTTGTCATATTCTATTTCTACGTAATTATGAGTGACATTCATTGTGTTGCAAGAAGAACTAAAGTATTGAATATTGGTCACAATTAAAACTAGAACTCATGCGCATCGAACTCCTAAAACGAATAGTGCAAGTTGCCAACCGAATTCCTGGGCTGAACTATGCAAATTACCTACCAAAGTCATAGTACAAACTGTATAGTGCATTTTCCCACTTGGTCAAAACAGTGGATGTTACCCACTAAACTTCCATGTTACAGTGCATAAATGTGGTACTATGTTTCCTCGGGCTTTAGGTGGCCACAAAATATATCAACTGAAGAAAATAGTGTTTTCTGGGTGGTCTTTCTCTCAGTTATATAATGTCTGTCTGGCATATGTAATGAATATGTAATGAAATTTACTATTACCTCCATATCCTGTGACACATGATATTGTCATCCAGCCCAATGCTGCAGCCCATGCTGGACGACTAAGTGTGATATATAACACAGCTAACCATTGTGGCATATAGTGTCCTTCTACTGTGTACCATAGACCATAGATTATAGCCAATCCTGTAGCAATGGCAGCACACCAACCACTAATTACATATGCCTGCCATGCATAAAATGGAACTCATAATTATCCTATTTTATCATTATATATCTAGCTTTCTATCATACACCAAGTATTATATAACTTGATACGTATTCCAGTGAATTTCGTGACACCATTTTGGTATGTGATCTATAAAACTTGATTATCGCATGGCAGTAAATCAAACAATGAAAAAGATGTTACATTTAATAATAAGTTTACCACAAGAATATAACCGTCGTGTGTTGGCGGATACTTACCACATTCATTTTTAACGTTTTCCCTTCCAATCTATAGAGTATATATCCTGTAACCATGCCAACCATGTACACAGGCCACCGTGTGTATGGTTTCCCATATATAACGTCGTCACCATTTGCATCATTGATGTTATCATTGTATCTCCTTGGGAAGTGTCAGAAAGAGAAATTTGATTTAACTAGACATAACCATGTCTACGTGGGTCACAGATTCGGTCAAGAAATGATGCTAGAGACCAAGATTTACATTCACCCAGAAACCAAGAATTGAGACTAAAGATCGTGGACAATTAGATACCCAGGCTTGTTGCCACTCAGAAACCCAGGTTCATGGACACTTAGATACGCAGGCGTGTATCCATTCAGAAAACAGGTTCATGCCACACTTAAATACCCAGGCTCGTAGCCACTCAGAAACCCAGGTTCATGGACACTTAGATACGCGGGTTGTATCCATTCAGAAAACAGGTTCATGGACACTTAGATACCCCGGCTCATAGCCACTCAGAAACCCGGGTTCATGGACACTTAGATACCTAGGCTTTTAGCCACTCAGAAACCCAGGTTAATGGACACTTAGATACCCCGGCTCATAGCCACTCAGAAACCCAGGTTCATGGACACTTAGATACCCTGGCTCATAGCCACTCAGAAACCCAGGTTCATGGACACTTAGATACGCAGGCTTGTATCCATTCAGAAAACATGTTCATGGACACTTAGATACCCCGGCTCATAGCCACTCAAAAACCCAGGTTCATGGACACTTAGATACCCCGGCGTGTATCCATTCAGAAACCCGGGTTCATGGACACTTAAATACCCCGGCTCATAGCCACTCAGATATCCAGGTTCATGAACACTTAGATACTCGGACCACACTGTATATTTACATGGTTCAACGCCGTTCTGATCGAAATTCATAAGTGAGTGGAACATACATTAAAACTGCAAACATTTGAGATTTCTATGCCACATAACAATGCTATACACAAATAAATAGTGTTTCTAGAATCTCAATCAAGTATACAGCGGCGGTGGTACGGGGAGGGGTGTTGGCAGAGGGGGCGACCCCCTCCAAAATCAAACTGAAACCCTTTGTGTCAGCAAAATTTTCCCCGCAAAATGCAGGAAATAGGGTCTAGATTTCCTATTTTTAAGGGGGAGCATGCCCGGACCCCCAGAAATATCGCGCAATGTTGGTGAGCAGATCTTGCCCCTCATGCAAAATTTCGTGCCACCGCCTCTGGTATATATTCTTAAAACAGTAACCAATTAGTTTATGTGAAAATTACAGTAGCTTTCTTATATGTGCCTGTATAACTTTTAATTGGGTGAACTATTAGCCCTAAAAACTTATGTTTACAGTTGGTTACAAAAATGCATCTATTATTAGTACAATCTACTTGTGGCAGAGCTCTAAAAATGTTACAGCATGTGACGACATTGTGGTTAATTTATTAGTTAATTTGCAGTGAAATAATATACAAATCATTACTCATGGAATATTGAAGCAACTTCCCCAAAATGAGTAGAAATAAGAGCGACGACACACCAACACGCCACACACAATGATGCGATTAACCTCATGCCCCATTTCCAAGACCTATAATACAAAAAAGACAGTTGGAATTGGAATATTCAAAAAATTGTAATAGTGCTTTTGACTGATGCGAACTAGTTCATATTCTCGTAGCAAATAGAGACTATCAAAGTGACGTACCTGTAAAGCAGAATAAGTATTGGTGGACTGAGCCAATAGAACTGCATATCACATGCCAGATACCATACCCATCCAATACACTACATGACGAGAAAGGGACGTGATTAAAAATCTAGTCTACACTTTAATTAATGACTTCATAATTTATTGACCATGTCAACTGTCAATCGCAAGTATATCAATGTTTACAAAAATAAGAATTTCTATTTTATGTGCAGGTAGCTTTAATATAGATGAGGAAAAACACTAATTTCAAAGACGAATGAAATAAATCATTTATATTTCTGTTTCTATTATAAAACCGATGGGTTTTACACAATTCATTGTTACCTTCGTAGTATCATTGACTATAATTACTGTAGGTTAGTATTTTTTTTTAATTAGTCAGACCGCATTATGAATATTTTACTATTGTACAGACGATCCGTGAATCAAAACCGTACTAAAGGTCGAATTTGTTAAATTGCCCAAGGAAATTGATTAACCACTTATCGGTATTTGTATGTTCTGTAAAAACGTGGTCTTTTAGGGTGACTATTTATGTGTATACGTCCTACTTACAGGGCCCTCAATACCGGGAAAAGGGTACAAGTTGTTTATATACAAGATATTCGTCCACCAATAGTCTTTGCAGTTCTTTCTTCCAAATTTATGGGGATTCTGATACATCGGTCCGTCAAATATGTGTAGAATAAGGTATGTATAAAACAACATTACAAACAACAACACCCATGTTATTCTCCAATATCGATGAATGTAATACACCAACCAGTTAATTTTACCATTGTTTCTAGCCATCTGTTTCATTGATAGGTATGTCACTAACAAACCACTGCAAATAGAGAGTACCTCACATACATTTCAAAATATACAACGGTCAATATGCTCTGTTCACACAAAAACAAGAGTCATTTCCGTTCCAATAATGTTATGTTGGTTGTAAAAATAGTTATCTATATTTATATATATTTATTATGAATATTTATGCAGTAATCATTATATTTACTGGGCATTTCCATTGAGTATTTATGGTTAGGAGGATATGTATTTCAACAAAGTTTATGCTGATTTATCTCTTTATTCGTGTGAAATAAATTAGCTCAGATCAAAAGGAATAAAGCAGCTAAAATTCTAAATTTAATAATCATATCCCAATTACAATATTTGTTATCTATTCATGCCAAGATAGTGTGGTTTGATGTTAACACACAATTGAACGTTTAATTATTGTTCATGTTAAACATGCCCATAACTCAGCGTATCATAGATACCACAAACAATGCGTGATGAATTCGGGTTTTATTGTATTTTTACAGCTTTCGAATTTATGAATCGGAATATCCAGTTCAAGCGGCTTGTACCACTGGCATTTTAAGTGACCATATACAAAATATATAATCGTTCTATGTTTTTTTTTGTAACTTTTTATGCAAGTCGACTACGAGGATCTCTTCTGCAGGGTGTAACGAAAATGTGATTTAATATAAATGTATTTGACCAGTGAAATATTTTACGTGTATTTTAAGAACGTTCGTGGTTTGTCGTAGTATGGTATTTTTTAGTTTGCACTAATGCTCATCGTTTCATTTAATGTTCTAGCCCTTTGGTGCAGCATTCCATCAGTTATTGTATAAGTATGTAACAGTAATTTGGACGATTCATTCACTTAGTTTAGCTGGAGCAGAGTTGTATTAATTTTACTATATTGAGGGAACATTTGGGATTGTCTCATGTTGTATTGACACTTGTTGCAATTGAGATTATTGTTGTGATTATATATTTTATTTGAGTTAGATACGGCTTACATGCTAATTTCTTGGGCAATATTGTCATTATTTCTACTCATAAATATTCAACTCCTAGACAAAAATTATAAGCATTTAAATACGATTTGTCACCAGAGCGTGTGCAGCACAGTGTGAAAATAAATTCTATATTTCTCGTGCAGATTGATTTACCAGTTATACACTATTCACTCTTATCATATAGGAAATCTTACGTACCTTAAATAGAAGAATGAATCAACGGAAAATGTTGCGTTCCATATCGATTGATACCAAAATCCTTTGAAGCAGTGAAGAAAATACTTCAAATTCTCTATATCAAATGTATTATTATAAGAATAGAATAGTTTAGTGTATGTCACTTGTATATGTGAGTCGTTGAGATGTCAAACAGTGAAAGTAGGAGCTTACTTGATAGTAGTCATGTTTTTGTTTTGTCTAGATCTTTGATCAACCTTAGAACAAAACACACCACCCAACACTACATAGTCAAATCAGTTTCCATTAATTTCAATGTGTAAATTTAGCTGTGTGCGTATAAACAAAACTTAGACAGTCTGGTTTCATACTGTTAAAATTCAATCACAAAAGTAACATGTACTAATTCAGAAATTTCCAATGCATTTCCAAAGAGTAATGAAAGTAACAAAACAAAATGTATTGACAAGTACCAGTAACAATCAGCAGTCCTATAAACACGTGACCAATGAACACCCATGAAAAACTGAGTACACGTATTCCGTTCAAACACAGCAGATATGGAGAGGTTACCCTGGCTGACAGAATCTTACGACCATTTTCCAGAAACGAACACGCCAAGATGAACTGATGGATATACCCTTATAAAAAGCACACCAGAAAAAGATTAGTAATTCATGTGGCTATCCAATCATGGAATCCATGGATCATTATTTCTACATTATATAAAATTATTCTGATCATGATGTTTGCATATATCGTCCCAGTTCAAAACCTACCTTGATGTATAGTTCTGTCGCCAGCATTATTGCGAGAAGACTCTTCTTTATGATTACGCCGTTTAATTTTTATGTATATATCATATATTGTACCGACGAAAACCAAAACACAAAATATGACACAGAAACATCTGGAATAAAACAATACGTGAGATATCGTGTTGTCAAATGGAAAACCAGCATGTCTATCGGTTGAATGATTCAGGTGATGTACCGCCAACATTATTGTCAGTAACTGGTCACGTGCAACCGGGGACAGAAAGTGTGTCCGTTCCTTGTAGTGCTTTGGAAGTGTCATTGTAATTATGCCATGATTTCAAATTCAAAAGATTGTGAACAACGGATTTGATAATGATGCAACACTAATGTATCCCCGGACACTAGCATACTTTATGACCTGCCTTTTATTGTGATGTGTCTGGTGTCCAGGGCATTTGAATCCAAATTACGACTATGAAAATTTATATTTCAAGATATGGTTATTTCTAATTCTACAGGTAAATAATTAAGACGGTAGTTGTTCTGGTATGAAACGACACAACTTTGGATCTGTACCTACATTGTTGCTATGGCACCCGCATCCAGATCATAATCGTTGTTACACGAAGACGTAGAACTCATCCGTAGATGGGGAGGAAGAATACTGGTAACTGAAAGTCAAACAGAATTTACTGTAAGCATGCGAAAACAAAACACATTATTTTGTAATTTCGAAATTATTATCTTCAATAATTGTGAAAAATGTATCAAACTTACCTGTTTCCACTATTGTGACAACATCTTCGTTCCCACATGACTTAGGAACACAATATCCTAATTTAAACGACTAAGACAACCTTAATTAGTTGAGACATGGTGTAGTGCATTGAAATTAAATTGTGAATAATAAAATAAGGCAGTTTATGGCCAAAAATTTTACTAATAATTTATTTGAACCATAAACAGTGAATTACTGTAAGTGTATTGACTGACAATTTGAATTTCTCCATTCATATTAACGCTCTAAATTTAAAGGCTTTTATAATTGACTACATTATTAATAATATTGACATAATTGAGAACACGCATGTAACAATTATTTGAAACCAAATTGACTATGCCAAGTTTAGTGTCTACGATTATATAGTTAATATAGAGAGGGTTTATCGTACATTGTTTCTCTCCCTTCTTTGACAGAACATGTGTATTCGTTACACAATTATTGTATTTATATTTGTTACGTGCCATCACTGTTTTCAACAAGAGTTTAGTCCGTTTAATTATACGTATCGTATACTTTGTACTCACTTAATTACCTTCCCACAATTCCGCATCTTTTTCTATATAACCTATATATTATTTTACTTAGTTGAATTATAGTTGTTATTCATATCCTTCGACAACTTTTTCGTTTATTATTCATCAGAGTGATGTAATTGTGTAACACACGCCGTTGGTGACGTCGACATTGTGTTGGTATGTGATCGTTTGTCGATAACATGTTGGTGAAAAGACATAAGGTTTTTTTTATCTTGTGGTTCATATGCATAAATGAAAGACAGTTTTCTTACTCTTATTATTATTGAATCAACAGTAACTAGGCAGTAATTCGCATCAAACGACGACTCAGTTGGGGTATCCTTGACTGCTTCGCACTGACTGAACGTTCCAAGTGATTTGGTGTTTCCCGTAACCATGAAGTCCAAAGGAAACTCTCCATTTGCAGAAAACACTGTGAACAAAATAGAAGATATTATTTTGCTTTTACGTCTGTAAAATAGTGTAGCTGCGGGCAAGTTCGATATGTGAAAAAATCGCTCGGACCATACTTAATCATAACTTTTGGAAATACTGTTTGAATATATTATTATTACTTTAATTCAAATCATAAGCTCCATAGCAGAACAGGATTAAAAAAAAAAACAATTGTGAAAATTACTACAGTTGATTTTTCCAGTGTTGGAAAAGTTCTGACTTCCACCGTATGTCACAAATATACAGACTTAAAAGCAGACGATTTGACGTTAGCATACTTAAGATTCTCGGCGCTCAGACCATCAGCCACGTGACATTTGAGTTGGTAGCTTACCGATAATGTTCACAATATCTGCACTATATACATAATTACCGTTATTATCACAGGCAGATATATAATTTTGCTTTATATTGATAATTTTTCACGGAATTCAAAATAGCTACAAAACGATCGGCTTGTAACTTGGCACATATCCACAATTTCTGGTTCTGGTGTTTCATTCTTACTGCAACTACGTAGTGCAAACTTGAATTTTGATCTTGGTGATTGCATCATATAGTAAATGAAACCTTGTCCGGGTGCCAGCATCTCGCCACGCTAGAAAACTTTCACGAGCCGTATCATCGGCGACTTTAATAACATCATTCCAGCCCGGAACTGAAACAAAACTGACCGTGGATAAATGTCACTACAGTTACAACTATCTTCACAATTAATATCTGAGCAGCAAATGGCTTACTCTGGTTTTAAAGTATAGTTCAGTATATTCAGTGTGCTTTGTATATTGTATCATTTTATCGTGTGGTTTTGCTTTAGTCCAATTAATGTGCATGTCACGTGGTTTAGCCTGGTTCGAGAATTGGCAGTTGGTGTGAATCAACTTTTGGGACTCGCACACAATAGACTTTGGCAAATGATCGGATGCAACAGTCATAAATATTATGGTTATCTGTAATAAAGCGATGTACAACAGAAATACAATGGTCTAACCATGAGGTAATGGAATGTGACTCACTAACATACGAAATGCTATCTGTGCTTTCACTAATAACCTCAGAGTCCGAAATTATAAGACCCGTATTTATACAGATCTCATGGACTTCCTTACCGAAAAGCGATTTGAGGTCAGCATTACATACAAACGTTGGGTGTGTCACAAGCTTGAACGATAACGTTAATTTTACCGAGGTAATTATTATATTCTTCTAAGTTGTCGTATAAGTTTCCAGGGAGGTACACACATAGAAGAAACAACACGCTATTATCGTTCCTAATTTCAGCCCCAATCAACATCGGACCATTTTACGTTATAACCATAACCGAGTTCATACACCTCCATATGGTGGCCAAACACAAATTTCAGTCTTTGTGTCAACAACTGATAAAGCGGGAGAATAAAAGTCGTTGTGAATAGAACAGTCATTTACCAGTCAGTGTGAAGAAGAGAGATATCATGATCCTCGCACGGCTTATTGACAGTTGAACTACTCGATTTAAAAGATCCTCAGTTGTAGGTGCCAATTCTGAGGCGATCTGCTATAGAGAGTGAGTTAGTTACGACGGTTATACAGTCTACGCACGATCGCCCACCTCGACCACTATTCGAGGTTCACAGGTTTTTAGTAAAGTCAGTTATTGTAGAAGATAAACTGAATGAGGAGTATGGTTCATATTTAGTAACCAATTTTTCACATTTAACATTGACTACATTCAAGTTTGCCTGAACATAAGCTTCAATCATGTCCGCTGCACTATCAGGACAAAATCTACTGATTAAAATGCTCGCACGCTTATGAATAATAGACATATTCCCAGCAAGAAGTTTGCTGTTGCCATAAACAACATGAAGACGACGGTTGCTGTCCGTATTATGGTCATTTTGATGATCAACAGAGTACAGTGTGATTTCGTTCGGCGTTTGCCCATTTTGTCGATCCGTTAATTAGCGCCTCGGCATAACTACGATGTCTTGACTGGAATCACAGTATTGTTGTCATGAGCTTTACTGGCAGATGGGCTTAGTCTTTTCCACGAAACGAAACGAAACCTTAACCCTAAATTTAGCACTTCGAAACACGAAATGAATAGCGCCATCAGTGTTCAACTATTCCAAAAGGGCTGTCACGTCAAGTCAGCACAAATGAATCGAGCTGCAAAGTAGGCGGAAAAGAGGTGGAAAGTAAATATTCTCGACAAATTTATTTTTGTGACGTGACGATGTTTGGAGTCGTTCAAAATTTGGTTTAATTTCATTTCGTTTTTTTTCACGTTTCGTTTCGTTTCTGGCAGGTGCTATCGAATTTACAATCAAACCATTCTGTTGACTATCTATTCTATCTGATCCGGTATTTTTCAGAATGGTAATGTCACGTTTTGTGTGAACATTATCCTTCAATAGCATGATCAAAATTGATATAATGCGTCCTGATCAGAACAATACGATTTTGCCCGAAATGTACAATGTTTGTTCAGTATCTCATATCGGACGTTAGTCGATGTAGAAAAACATATAGCAACATTAACATAGCATACTTTGCTGAGAATGTTAACCCAGCAACTGTGAAACGTGACATTACCGGTAGCAAATTGAATGTTCACCAACTAAAAAGTATCATTTACAGAATCGATCTGCATTTGTGTCTTATTTTTTTCTATTATTGACAGCTTATTATATTACAATTTTTGTAATTATTTATAACTTTTGGTTTCGACACATGCAATTTCTATTCCTTATTAGTACTTGTTTATTCGGTTTGATCATTGTAGAATATAATTACAATGATTAATGCTAATTAATAATTTATAATATTGTCATACCCGTAAGTTGGATTTCTTAATAAACAACAACGCCTATTCAGTATTTCATAAGGGGGAATCAAGGTCCACAGTGGGCACATATAATTATTCGTACACAGCACAATAATTGGCACCTCGCTAACTGGAGTATAAACTAACAATAATATGATAATAAGCACTACAATTACATGAATTAGCAGTAATACGCACAATAATAATTATTTCCGGTTAGATGAATTAACAGCAATATTTACCATAATAATTACTAAAGTTGTAGGACTCAATAGCGAAATACACAATGTCCAACTTGAAATATACACGTAGCGGAAACACAACAATAACTATAGGTGTATGAAAAGTTCTGTTTGATAAATACACCTACAAGTTAACAGGTTCAACAACTCAATACAATTCTGCATGAACCTTAGTACAACGTACAGCCTGATAAAACTATACATGCCATGATTGCCAGCGAACATTGATCATCTTATCGTATGATCAACTACGTAGTATTGCATGATGCATATGACACATCTACTTCAGAATATACATCATAAATGTGCTGTGTATGGAAACACGCCAGCATTGTTCTAGGTAAACTCCGGTCGACCTTTTCAAGTGTGATTCTGTTGCTAAGCAGTTAATCTCAGACCATCTTGTTGTATTTAATAATAACACGTTTAATAGCTGCATTTGTAGAGCGGTCCCAGGGAGATATTTACCTTGATTTTGGGTAGGAATGCTCTGCAGCCAATTGACTCAAAGACATCTAAGAAATTGACAAAATTGTGGCCGGAAATCTTAAAATTTGGGGTCAAAATTCAAACCGTCCGGGATCAAAACAGCTGCGTAAAGCCATATACTATGGATGTACCCCTTCCCATGAAGTACAGTACGAATGATATTAAATAGAACCCCAACTTTCAAGCATTCAGAGTGAAACATGATTGTTAGTATCCGACGTTATGAGTATGTCATGTGACATATCAAATTAATATGCTATGACGAAATGTTAGTCACGTGACAATGGACGTCGATTGTGCTCACTATGTCGGTAGAATATTGATGCTTGAGTACAGCTAGTACATTGACAATGCATTAATATTAAACCAACAACACACTAACAACAAAGAATTCTGTTATTTCGTACATTGTGGGTTGTTGGGGTTATTTTGTACATAACAGCGTCGTTAAATGAATATATGTTGCCTTAACCTTGAACAATAAGGCAACTATTAAGTTCTAGGGCAAACACAAATGGGGATTCTTTGACGTACAAAAACAGTTAGGTGACAATAAAAGCGATGGATAAAAATACATACTCTGTAAAGCGTATGGTTCAGATTCTTCAAGATCGCAGTAATATTCTTCCAGATCACGACGACATTGCTCAGATATATTCATCCGTGCTGTGGTGTGGACCAAGTTACTCGATCCATTGTTCCGCACACATGGGAGGCGGGACACTGATTTCCAAACGTCTTCCACTAATAACAAGTGTTTAAAGTCATTGGAATCTACAGTCCCAACAATATCTGGAAAGAGCGATTCAGAAACAGATAGTTTGGCGGCAAATGGTGCAAAACCTTTGCTGAGCGCGTGCGCTGATACATGGGAACAGTGGCTTGGAAGCAACAGCACCAATATCACCAGTGTGTACAGCAGTGCCATGTTTTCTGAGACGAGGCTGAACTTAACATCAACTGAACAGCTTGCTCAGATAATCAAAAAATCCTTGTCTATTCAGCGATTCATTATCTCTACGTCATTGGTCATATTTCACAAAAGGTGTGTTCACATCATGAATATTTATCAAAGATGAGTCACTAATCCGCCATATTTGAATTATATATTCATTACTTTGCTGTGTATCCATACAGACGCCTCCATTATGACACAAGTATTGACAAATAACACGTCATGAATCAAGGTATGCGCTACAAACAATTACAAAATTCAAGATATCGACCACATTTCAAAACAACATCAGATTAAATAGATTGTCTATTGCTAACCACGTAAAAGTACCAACACAGTTCATGTAGTCTGTTCCCAAAATGTATCTTAATTATCGTGTTATTTAAGCCACTCATACTGTTGACCATTGTTTTTTTAAGTGTTGGTGCGCGATGAACAATTACGTCATGACTAGTGCATTCAGACAATGTTCATTTCTAAGTCATAAATAGCTTACACGCATCAATGCCAATTAAACAGAGGCATTCAATATATGCAGATTATTTAGTTTGAAATATTTGCACATTAAGTTGCAATTTTGTACCAAACTGGGATGACATTTTTTAAAATGTTTTTCATTAATAATAAAAGCAATAATTTAATTCTTAATGAAACTCAGGGGAATAAGATTGTAATAAGTCGGATTTCCTGTTTGCAATTACTACATTTCCTTTGATTGCATAGTCCAAAACCTTCCGATAATATAATGTGATGGAATGAAAATTATTTTTTGGCCTATGAAAAAGTAACATTTGAGCTCTGTGTGATAGAGAACTTGGGGGTAAAGGTCACATCGTAGTCAGCGTAGATCAAAGTACTGTTTTAAACAAAGTACAGAGTTAGTTGTGTCGTCAAAGGACGCGCTGTCGTAGGACAGACCTATGTCATATAATGCTTTACTAGTCAATTTTGGCTAAAATAGCGCTTTGCCGCTGGTGTTTTTTCGTGAAACTACGCATTTCATTCAAGGCATTATCAGTATAAACTGATTGCTGAGTATGCAATTGTTAGGACTAGTATAGTTTAGTAAAGAAATAGCAGAAATGAATGAGAGGACGCTGACCTGCAGCGTCAATGGCATGAGTCATCTATTTTCAGACATGACGTAGTGTTAAATAAAGAGAATGTTGTTTGTATAATAACTGTCTCTTTTTATGACATTTATTACCCTACTTTAGTTTATCATTAACTAATACTTTCGGCTATGTGACCCATTGTTCTGACCGTTGGTTTACTGAATCCACACATGTCTTTGTTTTAAGCCACATTCGTATTCATACGCAGAGTGTATTTCCCATAGTTTTATTCATATGCTAAACCATATAATTTGAAATTCAGTAACTACTATAAATATATATAAAATTGCTTATTGAAAATACTAAAATCTATAAATTTATAGCTACTATTATTTTACAAATTGCGCACGAGTTACGTGTGCTGGCACCTATCACGCAACCCAATCTTATCTAATAAATAAGCTCAAATACATTCCACATATTAATTGCTACAATGGGTATGGCATCAAATACCGAATACAAAATTGTTCGAAACTATTTGGAACATTAATGCGTTTTAGGTTGAAACACCACATTTGAAGTATTTCAAATTTGAACAGTTTTGAGGTAAAGTGTAAATGTGTTCTATACAGCACTTTATGGAAGATTCATGTTTGGTTACTGACGTGACTGTGTACCTAAAGGCCTTATTGATTCTCTGTTATTTATTTTGTGATTTGGATTCGTAAATTTATTTATTGGATAAAGTCCTTCTGACAATTTGTCATGTAATCTAATATGTAAGCCTAATATTAATACTTTTGTACAACATAACGAATCCTTAACTGGTGAAATTACAAAATGAACTAAATTGAACATAACAAGCCAATATTTGTTAAGGTCATTTGTTAAAGTCTATTTAAGGTCACCAGAACTAGTATAAATTACATGCATATTAGGAACATATAGACATAAAAGAATAGATTGAAACCATGATCACGACCATGTCTCTACCCTTTTTCACACAAACGCGGGCCTCACTTAACCACAGTAACCAACTGCAAAATGACGGTTCCAAATTACGCGTTATATATGCGCACTTAGTGTTTAGATGCACGTGACTAGATGAATCTGTAAAAAAGTGAGATTGCTTGAATTTGAATTGGGTAGTTAATATGCACATATTTTCACTAAAAACTCATCCAGTATGTACATAGTCCTAGATCATCTATATACTAGGAATACGTTTCATTGAAATCAAATTAGTGGCTTTTAGACATCTGTGGAACAGACGGATACTACCAAACACAGACCAACTGCAAAGACTCGCACACGGGAGTCAATAAACATTGATAGAGCTGGTCTTATCGACCGATTACTAACGGGTTGTGTGGGGGCATTTAATATGACATAAAATATATTCACTTTTCTTCAGCTACTCTGTTGCCATGAGTGGGAATCATGCAGGGGAACACACATAGAACGATTATTATAATAAATCACGAAGACAGTCTCCGGGAGTAGTATCAGGGGGAAAATCTTTCTCTGGATTCTCCACACGTGTCAAGGGGAAATCTCGTCTCGTCTCTCTATCTCGTCCCCTTGAGGTACGGGATCGGGAAAGTCACTTTAACTTTACAGTCAAATAAGACACACACAACGAAATACGTTTCAACTCTCGTCTTAGTCGATCTTTTGGAGCACTCTATAAGACACAGCGCCCTGGGGAAAAGTCCCCAAGAATCTCATAAGGCTGAACCAAGACTCGCCCAAGACTGGACTGCCTCAAGGCTCGCCCCTGGACTGGACTCTCGACTCTCAGACTGCGTCTATCGTAGAGTATTCGCCAAGACCAACTCAAACTCTCTTTATTCATTTTCAAAACTCTAACCAATTACAAAACAGTAAAAGACTATAGGGCGTAACCTTCAATCATAAAGCCAATCACACTAAGTACTGAATACGTCATATCTTTTGATTAATCGTTCACTACATTAATAACTATGGAATACCAACTGTCAGAATGAGTAGTCTAAAAAGCGGTGGTTATCTGGTAATTAGTTCCAAATCACTGAGCCAAGTTCCGTCCAAAACTTCAAATAGACCTAAACGATGACAGACATAACACAGCAATTCAGCTAATAATCAGTTAATTAAGTCGGTTAACAGATACGCAAAAACAAATTCATGACAGTAGCCTTCCTACTATTTTGTCACACTGAGGATTTTCATAATCTATACCACTTCTGGGAGTGTCATCTAATTAATACTGTTATGTTATAGCCTTGGTACAATATGAGTCTCCCATTAGAAATCAACAGCAACCATTTCCACTTATAAGTCACTGTAGTCAAGAATCAGTTTTCAGTGTGTTAAATGATTGAGTTAGACTGCCATTCATTCAGTACAAACTATATTTGACCTCCATATGTGTAGTACACATTGTAAATGTAAATATAAATACAATACTCAGCCGTAGATCATTAAAACAAAAGTCTAAGAACACAAAACAAAGGACTGTTTGATAAAAAAACAATTCACCAGAACAAAACAACTGACAAGTACAGTACATTTTATTGTCAAATAAGTAAAGGAATAGCATAAGGATTCCATAATATACATTGAGTAATGTCGAGTGAGTGCACATATCTGCCCCACACGTGGCACAAACAATATATTTCTGATTCACAATCGAGTGTTTTTGTATAGAATCTGATGTCACCAACCAAGTTGTATTGATAACATCTTGCGATCATATTTGTAATGGTGTTATTGTATTTAACCACAAGCTCACCATGTTCAAAAAGCCGATCGCTCCTTTAAAACTCTTGGTTTAAAATTTCCTAAAACACTTTTCTGTTTAGAAAGTCTGCATAAGTGTATATATGTATGTATATGAGCGGATTTAGAGGGGGCCGGCCCCTATTTCTAACAACCAACAGTGCTTCGTGCCATCGGCGCTCGCGAACTTGGCCTTCGGCCAACTTATCGCCCCCCCCCCCTATTCCAGAATCCTAGATCCACGTAACATTTGTTACTGAAACTTCGTCAGTATGATGAACATACTAAATAGCTCTATAACACAATCAACAGAGACCATGTATGTGAATTAGCACGTGATACTGTTGTGTTGTGATTCCAAAATGGCGGCCAGCATCTACACACAAATTTCTTTTTAGTTTACATGTTTAGTATGAATGAGGCGCACGGTATAAGTTCCCGTTCTGATAACATAAACTAAAACTAACAAGTCATTGAAAATGACACGGTTCCTGTTCAAATGTTCAAATTAATCCTCATGTACCAAACTTGGTCTTGACAATATTCAAGAAATATATTTACGTGGTGAAATACCAAAACAGTGTACATACTGAGTATGACAAATAAGAAAAAACAAAAGAAAATGGCTTACAACATTTTTCAATGCAGTGTCCAATGTCTGAAATGCAGAGACAAGGTCGAAGTCAAAGTCAGAAAGGCACCCAGATTGATTTGGTCCGAATGAAATGCAGCTATTTAAATCAGCAAGCAACCTGTAAATACATACTGGAATGACTTAAGATAAGTATTAAATACAATATGTCCCATATCTAGTATGTTATCAATAGCCACACTGTTAGCAGTACTGACATTAGCAGTATCCATAATCATTGAATATACCAAGGTTATAAGACTCCACAGGTGATACCTGAATATTTTAGTGAACTTTAATGAGCATAACCTGCAATCACTAATTTATCTTGACCCGATATTTCACAGTTTGAAGTAGGACGGACCAGCACTGCCATCTATATCATCACTTAGCAACATAATCATTCTCTTACTGTACAAATAAAGTTGCATAAATTCTCACAGACAAAAAGTTGTTTTTAGTACCAACTTCATTTGGTGTACAATGAAAAATTCGAAGTTAAATACATTTTTATAATAAAATAAACG